CAAAACTGGTATTTTTGGTCAAAAAACCCGGTCCACTGAGTTAATACCCATATAAAAAAGTTTTTTTGTAATTTAAAATTGATTTTTAGCGGATAAAAAACTTTTATAATACTGATTTGAATTTTTAATTTTTACCCCTATAAATAAATATTATTATTATTATTTAGTATTATTATATATAATAAGACAAATAGTAATCGATGAAAGTTGAAAATTTTAACAATCCCGTAATTATTTTCATAATCACCTGAATTATTGTCTGATTTCATTGTCTATAAATAGCCCATGAAAGCCAGACACACGAGAAGAAAAAAATAAAAAGGAATTATTATTTGGGTACTATTTATTTTTTTTATATTTTTTCTATACCCAGTAAGATATTAAATTTTTTTAAATAAATTGAAAAATATCAAAAATATCTCAACCATTAGATGTAATAGTGTTTAGATCTGAGCCCTTTGATTTCTTAGGATACAATAGGCTTTACCACACCAGATTAAAACCCAACTCAATCTCGTCCTTTCAAATAATCTGTCCTTCGATCCTGTTGCGCCACGTCAGCATGTGTACCGAGTACTCGGTACACCGCGCCACACCAACTCTTAGCCTATTCAATCCTGACCGTGCGATCAACTTGAAGATCAAACCAATCACAGCCGCAAGATCTGTTCATCTGAGATCCAACGGTTTCCAGGCTTCAGACGCACAAGTGCACCATACACTCGTCCACACCGTAGTAATACCCAGAGATTCTCTCTCCTCTCGCCGGCGATTCTCTCTCTCTCCTCATATCTCCCATTTCCGGCCGTTTCAAGCCGTTAAACCACCACATAAACGTGAATCGCCTCCTCTGAAGCAAAACCCCGGTCTTTTTACACTTTTTCACCAGCGATTTTGGCCGGAAAAAGGTCGCGACCGTCATCGGCCAATCGACCTTCAAGTCGTCGATTCTCCCTCCTCAACTATCAACGGCCAAAGATACCACCACCATCAGAATCCTCATCCTCATATCTACCAGAATTTACCATCTTTTGGCCGGAATCTCACCGGAAAATTTCGCCGCGTGAGCCACACGCGCCGCCAGTGGCATTTTCGTAAACTTTCGATGAATCCGAGGGTATTTCAGTCTTTTGCCTATACAGGGGTACTCGGGTAATTTTCTATGATATTTTATGGTATTTTTTGATATTTTTATATATAAATACTTGTAAATTTTTGCATGTGAAAAAAACAAAAATAAACCAAAATAAATAACGACGCGGGTTTAACACCCATTTTATCATATCACTGTTCATGGGTCAAAAACCCAATTTTCAAGAATTGATATATCTATTTGTCAATGATATCAAAATAATTTTTATTTTATAAAATAAATATTATTTGTCGACACGTCTCTTTTATTTACAGAAAAGGACCGATGTCAAAAAATTAAATACCACATATGGATTATGTCCATTATTATTTATTTTGGTAAATCAGACGTAACTCTCCTTTTTAGGGATAAACGTCGATATTTTAAACAAAGTCTTCTAATTTTAGGGACTGATGTCATTTTTAACGTGTCTCCTATTTTTAGGGACTGACGTTAACCATGTTAAAAATTTACAAATAAGCTCAAAATATAATAGCATTTGAATCAAACAAGAAAAGCACACAAGTAAAGGTAACCTTTCTCTGAATGGATGTTTTAAAGGTGGTGTCTATTTTCCCTTAATCATAACTAACCCAGTACCCGAATCTCTGGGACCAGTGTCTAATTTTGGATTTCTAGTTCCCTCAAAGTACTAGATGACGACTCCAATAAAAATCTTTATTTCCCCAATCAAATAAAAACTAAATTCTTTTTTTTATTTTAAAAAAACAAAAAAAAAAGTGAAGTCGTCGCCCGACACCATGTAGCGACAACAGTTATAAAGGAAACCTAGGTGCTTGTTAGCATTTGGAACTGTAATTTATTCACAGTTTGAATTGAAGGATAGCTTCTTATTAGACATTTATACAGCCTCAGCTTTTATCATTGTATCATCTATGCCTGCTTTTAGCTGTGCTAGTGCCAGGTAGACTTTGCTAAAAGCGATCTTTCAGGGTAAACGGGAAGATACGGGTGAGCAAAGATTTAGCAAGGAGAATTTTAAATAGACGTGGAAAATTAAGGCCTGTCCCTGTGGTGTCTTAATTCACTCGTTTTAGTGAGGTGGCGCAGTGTTGGTATTTCAGGAACTGCATGATCTGCAAGTATTCATCTGGAGTAAAATGCATTGTAAGCTGTTCACATTAGGTAATTTGGGTACCAAGAGTAATAATATTCCAGGTTGAGGTTCTCACTGGATAGAAATTTTATGTTATTCAAAAGAGCTACTAATAATATTGATTCCATGACAAGAGGAGAGAGGAACAAAAGGGAAGAGATGACATTGTAATTTCCATGAAAATAAATCTCCAGTGATATCAAATCTCACACTTCTCACTCAAATGATGGTAAACTTTGCAGCACCTTAGGCCGATGGAAAAGATGACGCTCAACATTTTCCAGCAACAAAAACAAACGAGCAATAATCTGCACTACATGAACCCCAAAACTGTTGCTAAATTAAGCCAAAAATGAAATGAATTATCCTGCCGACTTTTTGTATCAGAACCTTGTAGCTGTTGCCTGTCTCAATATTGTACACTTTACACCTTTGGGCCTGTATTATCACCTTTCAAGATGCAATTCTTCCTCCTACCGGGAGGGAAACTTCTCATAATTCTTCGCCAAAACAGAAAACCACCCCTACATCATGTCTTACAGCATGGATCATCAAATAAAAAATCTCTCAAATCAGGTTTCACAAGAAATCATTGAAATGAGTTAGAACCTGAAAATGAGGGATGAAAATAATTGCCTATTGCTCGATGTTTTTCAGTAGAACTATGGATCAAAATTTTGTTGTTTACGAAAAAGAATCTTGATTTCACTATGGAATATACTCATGGAAACTTGGCATTGAAAAGAATATTGGATCCTGGGACTGGAATGGGGTGAATTGCAGGGATAGGTGGCTGAAGAAAAGGAATATGGCTTGGCATTACAAATGGTTGTTGTCCACCAGCTACAAAAGTTGGAGCCACGCAGAGCTGCAAGGTTTGGCCAGCTGCACTTCCTGCAATATCAAAAAAAAAAAATTCAAAGACTCGATAAACAGGCACAGAAAAACATAGAGATGCTGAGACTTAGCACTGCCACTATAATTACATTATGCTCAAGAAATATTTTTCTTCATTTTCTTTTCTGTGTGTTTTGCAAGTGGGTGGGGTGTGTGAATATGTTGGAGCTCTAAAACAAGCACCAGCAAGAACATAATCACCTTCCCTATATTTGATTTGTAGTGTTAAATTTAAGTTTTCTCATTAAATCGAAACTCAAAGTAATCAGTTTCTCAAATGGTTGTGCACATATTGATTATCATTGCACATAATGATTATCAACCCCTTGCGGACATTGACAGAGGTTGGAATTTTCAACATTAATTTTTGAAACAGTTATCCTGACTTGCTAGCCTAGCAGTTAGGTTGTCCCTCCATGTATTCAGTAACATAAAAAATCTAAGCTTGCTTGGAATGTGCAGCCTCATTGATGGCAGCAAGTGCAATGGCAAACTTTTGAAACCAGAATCTCTTGCAATATAGCACATGAAAAATTCCAACCAATAAAAGGAATACCTTTCTCATACCTTGGTGTTTAGGATATTGTACTTGGTGAGGAGTTGACATAGGACGTGCAGATACAGATGATATGGCTGCTGCACTTGGAACCAAATCCTTTCATGGTACAAATGCAATGAAACAATCAGAGAAGTATAGCATGCATTTAATCTACTTGGATAAGAACTCCAGGGAAGAGAAGAAATTAAAAGCTTAAGATGACTTGCAATGCAAGAGGATCAGCTCCAACAACAAAAAAAATGACAGAAGTGTTGAAAAAGAGAAAGAAGTTATGCACGAAAAACAAGAAAATAAGCCTGCCACTAGACCTTCATGATATACATGCAAGATTCCATAAGATACGAATAATTGCAATTTCCTACACATAATATAGCATATTTATAATCTTAGCTAATTAGCTATCTAGCTTCAGATCAGTGACACACACAAGCATTCTTCTATTATAACATGGCTAGTATAAAAGCATCCATGTTAAGAGTAGCATGGTGTTACACTGGTTGAGGAAGCCAACTATATAGATGGTTAGAAAAGTAAATCACAGTAGGATGTTAAGAATTAGTATGAAGCTTAGAAGTACTGCTCAAGGCTGATTCTAGAAACTATCTCGAGATCAGATAATGACTTAAAACCGTCCTCCCCATAATGTAGATTAAATTGCTTCCTAGCACAGTAATAGTTAAATACAAGCTACAACACCCAGAAACCACATGTTAGTTGTATCTGTAACTATCAAACATCAGAGTGCTTTAATTATTTCATGTTGCAGATCCGGTATCTTACATGAGAAACTGGCTGAATATACATGAGCTGCCCCAGTTGTCCAACCATGACCTTGAGAAACAGAGAGCCAGATTAGAGACCAGATTAGAAAATAAAGTTACAAATCTCCAAATCCAACAATAAAACAAACGGAGAACCAGAAATAAACTGCCCAAAGGATATCACGTGAATCTTCCTTCTACTTACAGATTGAGAATTTGGAGGCACAAATGCTGGTGCTGCCTGAACAGCATGATAATGACCAGAATATCTAAGTGGCTGTGGCTGTGCTCTGCTTCCCATGTGTCCAACAACCTATAGCCAAAATGAAACCCTTTGAGAACTAATAGAGGGTTCCTCTCTTGACAATTAGTCATTTAGTTTAGCTTGGGCTAGTTCAACCAAAAAATTATTCCAAGAGCTGACCATAAAGTTCCCTGATTTTTTCTAGTGACTTGAATAGATATCAGTTACTAAATAAGCAAGAAACTAAAAGTTAGCTAACACATACAGGTTGCAAAAATTGAGAACCACTGCCACCATTTACAGCTGTCAAGTTGCTATAGGGGGGGTACTTGGCAGGGACAGATGAACGAGGTGCAAAAGGGATCCCAACTTCTGGCTGGACAGCAGCAACAGGTACCGCTGGAGAGTTGCTTGGAATGTAAGCCATGCTTGCAGCTGTTGGCACTGCTGGAGCAGTAGCTGATATAGGATTGGAAAAAGATGGAGAGAATTTTTGCTCCTGGATTGAGTTTGAATGCCTGAAAGAAAATTAATGTCAAAAACATCACCATGATTATAAAACTGAACTTGCAAATATTCCAAAATTCCTAGGAAACTACAATGTAATCTAAACCCAATGATTTCTACCAATGCTTGTGGTATGGATTATAAACTATACCCGATATGAATTGCAGTAACTATTCAACAAAATATTTCAGTTTACTCATAAAAATTGCTGGTTCAATAAATTATATGATTCACTGACGAGACAGCCAGTGACCTGATGACTGCCATATAAATTTGACAGTCAAAGGAAGTGAGATGACACAGAGGTAGGCACCAAAAGGTAAAAACAAGGTTCTTGCCTTGGAGCTTCTATTAGATTCTGAGATTCGTGGAGAGACTGCATCAGTAGAATTTGCTAATGAACTACAGAGTGATTCTGAAGGAACATCAACAGTTGGATTGGAAGAAGTTGAAACACTTGCACAAACAGCAATAGGAGAAGTGGTTCCCACAGAAGCAGGCCTTCTACAATATTGATTGTCTGGCTTCATAAGCTTGCCAGGAGAATTACAAGATACATCGTTAGGCAACAGCTTCACTGTTACTCGCCCTTCTGCAACGGGTTTTGCTTCACTGAGGTGAGGCCCTGCTGCATGTTAGCAAAATAAGCAATTAAAACAAGAATCAAAACCAACAAAAGCATTTAAAGAAATACAAGACAAAATCAGGGAGTAGTGGTAAGCTTAGCAATTTACGGAAAAACTATGGCCTAGATGCATCTCAACATAGGGCCTTGTAATGATAAAGAAAAATAATCAGAAAATGGCATGCAACCACTAAATTCGCATGAATGTTATGTACAATATGATACAATTGATACAAAAGCCCAAAACCATGAAACGAAGTCTTATATACATAATGAGTATTTTATTACAAACATATCCACTGGTAGTATCAGAACTATTCACTACTGAAAGAATGCATGCCTCCTCTTCTACTTTCTTTTCGTGAAAGAAATTCACAATATTAAGGCAGACCTGTCTACTAAGTTATGAACAAGTAATTAGACCCAGAGATGGAAATTGAACTTACTGATTGCCTTTGGGCTATGAACTTCATCAGCCTGCACAAATCAATTGCACAAGTAAAAATATACTGATTGCCTTTGGGCTATGAACTTCATTAGCCTGCAAAAATCAATTGCACAAGTAAAAATATACATCAAACACTCAATAGACAAATAGTTTCCACTTCTACAAACATAGGGCATTAAGCAAAGAAATAAACTATGTCTGTCAAGACATACACTCTTTTCCCTTTGAAACTCGAACTTATGTTTATAGAGATCCTGCTCCCCCTGTGACCAGTCTTCTCCAGTCTGCCTGTCAGAAAAAAATAATGGACAGGAATCTGAAAGTTAGAAGGAATTTCATATAAGAAAATAATTTAAACTTAGTAAATATCACTTGAAACTTGGAAAAGGCTGGTAATTTAATTTATACCTTCCATTAACTGATTCACCGGAAGAAGCTTCTCTCTTCGTACACAAAACAGAAATTAAAAAAGTTAAAAAGAAAAGAAGTGAAAAGTGTACCTATATCTCTTTCTCACACACAAGCATCTTAAATAATGTATCCCTGCTACATATATTAATTACCACTGACTCATTTATCCAGTAATTGAAAGGATTCCCTTCAAGCCATGTGCCAATCCATCAAATCATCCAAACCATCAATTAGATGCATCCTAGGTAGCATTAAAAAAAAAAAAGCACAGCCATCTTAAACTAAAAACCTGCTGTCAGAATTATAAACAGCTGACTATGCTGCTGCTGATACAGGTCTCTCATGACAGAAATGCTAATAATCAAACACAAGTTAAAATCATTTACAGATATCTTTTGATGAGTATCAAGACAAGCTTACAAAACTCTTTCCCTATTAGACAAAACAAAACAAAAAAGAAAAAGAAAATAGAAGCCTCACCTTTGAGATATTTACACAATCTCTTTTCCCATGTTCAAATTCCATGACATTTCCTATGTCATTTGGTGGCATTTTTCTCCCTTCATGATCCTTCCCTGCTCTTGTCACCATAAGACCTTGAGAAGAACCATTCTTGTTTTTGGCTGAACCCCTACTTCATAGGTACAATTAGTGAAGAGTTCTATTCATATAACCAAAGAAAAGGAATATTGCTTGGATGGTGAAATATTTCCTCAACTGATTTTCTGTTCTAATACAGAAGGAAAAAAGTAGGTTGTTATCTCTTAATTACTCAACAATAGTATATATGTGTCTGAAAACATGCATAAGGCACTAAAGTGGTGCACATTATGTACAAACCATGGAAATAAAAAAATGTCGCCCTAGAGAAACCATCAAAATATAACTAAAAGTCAACTTGGAAATGAATGCAACATGGAAAAGAAAAGTAAACCAATAGATATGACTTTAAATTGTTACAACTTATAATTAAATTTCAACAGTTAACACCAATCCTTCCAACCCAAACCCAAAACAAGAAAATACCTGTTTTGATTAGATTTCTTTCTATCCACAGTGAACATTTTAGATTTCTTTGCCTCACTCACTGCAATCTCAGAAGATGAAGCATTGGTTACAGCAGCTTCTGCATTGTCACCAGATATATTTGCAGCGACACCATCAGCTGGAAATAGAACTCCCTACATACAATCAAGCACGCATATTAGGCAGACTCTCCAATGTTGACTCCTCATAACTAACAGAGATCTAAAAAAGAAAGAGTTGCATACCTTAGCAACAACTTGAACAATATCAACTGAAAGAATTACAAGTGTCTCTATCACACTCCCATTACCTACATTTGCACTGGATTTTCCCTTTTTAGTCAATCTTGCTTCCTTCAAAACAATACCTACGCAAAGTCCATAACTTGACTTCATAAATGAATTTCCAATCTTTATGGACTCGTATTGCTAAGAGTACCAAATTCAGTCTATGTTAAACAAATGAAACAGCGAAACCCTCCATTACTTAACTAAATAGATTACAAAACAGAAACAGAAACAAAATATATGCTAAGACAATAGGCAAAAACCAAGATCAGAATCCAATCTGTTCCCATCCATAACAAAAGGTACCATAACTATTTCTCAATAAAACCAAAACCCAGATAGGAATGCTTACAAAAATCAGAACCCAGATACCATTTTGAACAAAAATCATAACTTTCAAGTAATTCAGAAACCAATGCTAAATAGAAGCAATCGTTTCTTCTGAAAAAAGAAAACACTCACCGTTTTCCTTGTCAAAAGAAACAGTGTGAAAAGTCCCAAAGTAGACAGAACCATCTCTAATATGCACATCAACAGGGAGTCCAATTATACACATAGTAGCAAACAATAAAGCCTCGTTTAAGCATGCCTCTGTTTCAGCTTCTGCACTGTTTTTGTAACCCATCTCCGTTTGTACCGGAAAAAAACAATGATAAAACTTTTGTGTATGTAAGTTTTTCTTACAAAGAGTTTGTGCTAGATGGCGGGAGAGATCTAAAGGAAAAAATGGAAGGAAACTGGAAAATAGAGAGATGCTTTTTTCCTTGTGTGTTCTTTGTACGTGATCGTGTCTCTGCTGTTTTGTGTGATGAGTTTTCGTTGGCTTTTTTTTAATGTTGTATATAAAACATTTTCTTATTTTTAATATTAATATATAAAAAAAATCATATGATTCTAAAGTGTAATTATTAATACTTCTTTAAAATTTTATTTTTTAAAATCTTTTATTTATGTCTCCCTCTCATAGTTATCTCTTTTATTAAATAAATATTTATAACTACAAACTTTGAGTAGTAAAAATACTTAGAAATATATTTAATAAAAGCTAATAATTAAAATTTAAAATATAATTAAAGTTTATTAAATTATTATATTAACTTCCTGACACACACACATAACCAAAAGAATTTTATAAAGAGTAAATTGAATAATACAAGGGAGATAATTATGGGGAGAGAGAATCGTGGACAGTGATTAAGAGAGAATAAAAATGAAAATATAATAAAAGAAGATAAACAATGATATATTAGGGAATGCCAGCTAATAGTTCAAAGGGGACTCTTTAATTTGATTTTAGAATAAGGTATATATATATATATATATATATATATAAAATTAAAAAAATTAAAATAAAACAATTTGTGAATGTTACAAAGATAATAGTAATCATTAAGGGTGAGAAAAAAAAATTAAAAAATCAATTAAATTAAAAAAAATAATCAAAAACATCAAATTGTAAAAAAAAGCTTATTAAACAAATTAAAAAATTTTAAAAACCGACCGATTCGGTTTGATTTTGATTTTATAAGCTTGAAACCGAAAAAACCAACATGAACCGAACTAAAACCAAATAAAAAAAACCAATTTTTTTTTTTAAATATGGAACTGAGTTAAACCCAAATGAATGATTTGAACCGATTTCAATTCAGTTTCAAATTTTTTAAAAAAAAATAAATTAAAATAAAAATGATCACCCCTAATAATTATATAATTATGTTAGAATTTAATGGAAACTTTAATAAAATATGTATTTACATTTATATCTTATATATTTGATATATTATGGATTATTTTATTCAAATTTTATTTCTATATAATATTTTTTTATGTTTTTAATTAATTTTAAAAACTTTATTGACACACATGTATGCATGTGCTAAGGATAATAATTTATTATAGGTTTGTAAATTCATTTATTGGATGAATCGTACAGTGTTTGTCAATAGTTATAAGGTTTATTGCTGTTCTTTGAAAAATATTATATATATACGATTTTACAACTTTTTAATACCTATATAAAATTTCCCAAAATCATAAGATATACTCAAAGGCCATTTTATTTTTTATTTGGAGATGAAATAAGTTTATATATTAGATTATGCATTAATCAATATTGATGTTTTAACTCAAATAATTAAAAAAATACACCATTGAATTAGTACTAGATATTCTGAATTTATAAAATTAAAAACAGATATGAAAAACAGATTTTTTAAATTAGTTTTTTTTCACACTTTTCAAATAATACAATGCTTGTAATTTACTCATAAATAAATAAAAAATCAAGTACGATTATAGGTACATATTTTTCTTCTTTAAATTAGAAATAGCATGTGTTTAACTTTTTTTATTTAGATGTAAATATAGTTTTGAAACCGGTCCAATAAATATAACTAGCATCCAATTGATTTGGAGCTGGAATTGGATAAGATTTAAAAAAAATTAAAAAAAAGAGTAAAATTTAAAGTAATCTAATAACCTGATCCGATTAAAAATTTAATTGTAATTCATTAATTTTTATTTTTTTTATTAAAATAATATTATTTTAATTTAAAAAAATAACTCGACAACTTTATAATTTGATCAAAACTTGAAACCTATGTCTTAAATCGAGCCTCATCAAATTAAGTTTAAAAACTATAAATATATTATCAATGAAAAAACTAACAAGCTAACTTTAATCTTACCAAATCTAATTTTTTAAAAAAAAACAAATTTTCCAACTCAACTAATAAGTAAATATAATTTACACTTTATTATCAAAAGTTGAAATCCAATAAAAAAACAGAAAATATTTTTTTATCAACTATATGGATAAGCTAATTAAAAGTTGATATTTATATGAAAAATTAACTTTAAAATTCAAAATACCTTTAAAAAAATAACATTAAAGCATTGTTATTAAATTTATTCGCCTTAATTCTCAGGCTAGGTTTAATGGATTAATCGATTAATAAAAAATATTTAAAAAAAATTAATAAATTAACCGAGTGAACTTCAAATTGTTTTTTTCTTACACCTGGCCGGGGAAGGGACAGTTGCTCTGAATTATTGTCACGTGTCTCCAGGTAGATACACACGTGGCTTCGAGACCAAAAATAAAATACAAAAGAAAAGCAAAACCTTGACAAAACCCTAACCCATCGAATCTTCTCCTAGCTATTGCCTTCATCTATCTCTGTCTCTCCAACTTCCAGAGTTAGCTTCCACGATGAGAAAATCAAAACCAAAGTCTAAACAAACAAGAAGGGATCGTCATGAAGCAGAACAGGAAGAAATCTCCAAGCTAAACCAATGGATAGACTCACAAAAACCGGACTCAGGGACCAACCCTTTATCACTCCCACCACTACCAAAAGATGCACCAATTGGCCCCCTTCAAGATGATAAATTTTCAAGATATTCAGGGGCTACAATGTTCAAGGAATTGCCTTTGTCAAAGAGAACGCAAGATGGGCTAAAGAGAGCGAATTTTTCTAAAATGACTGATATACAAAGGGCTTCTTTGCCTCATTCTCTTTGTGGAAGGGATATTCTTGGTGCTGCTAAAACTGGGTCTGGCAAAACACTCGCTTTTATTATTCCTGTGAGTTGGTTTTATTTTTATTTTGAGTTTTATGGGTTTGGTTTGCTTGCTTTTGTTGCCTTTTTCGTGAAAAAAGTGGGGGGAAGAAACCTAGTGTGGTTCTTATTTTGAGCTTGTGTGGTTCAGTGGCAGATATTTGGCGTTGCAAAATAGGAAGAAAAAAAAAAGAACTGGGAATAGAATGGATTTTTAGGGTCGACAGATGCCTTTTCTGGTGGCACGGAATGGAAAAAAATTGATAATTGGGAGATGAATGGGTGTTATATCTTTCTCGGCTCTAAGTTTGACGGGTTCGGCTTGTTTTGGTTGTTTTTATTATGATTCTCTTATTAAAGTTAGTACAGTTTAGTTTTGTGCTTCTGTATTTTGATTGACAGATTAATTATCGGGAAAAGAATGGATTTTTAGGAAGTAATTAGTGTAGTTTAGTTTTTCTTTTGTCAGTTTGAAATGAGAAGTAATTGAACAATACAGGGATGCTTAACTTGAGCACTTAAATCTGAGGGTTAGACTATTACTTGTTTCGCAGTTCAATAGAGAATTTTTTGGATGATGGAATTGATGTTTTTATGTTTCTACATATTTATTGATTTATATCTGGAATTCAGATTCTGGAAAAATTATATAAAGAAAGATGGGGTTCTGAGGATGGAGTAGGCGGCATCATTATCTCTCCAACAAGGGAATTAGCAGGGCAGCTTTTTGATGTATTGAAAACTGTTGGGAAGTTCCATAACTTTAGTGCTGGACTACTCATTGGTGGTCGAAAGGAAGTGGAAATGGAGAAAGAACATGTTAATGCTCTGAACATATTAGTTTGCACTCCTGGAAGACTTCTTCAGCATATGGACGAGACTCCAAATTTTGATTGTTCACAGCTTCAGGTCAACATGACTGTTTTTTTCTTTTTCTTTTTCTTTTTTTTTGCTGGTCATTGTTTTTTTCTTTTTCTTTTTCTTTTTTTTGCTTGTCATTTTTTTTATATTTTCATATTCAAAACATGGATAACACAAGAGACTGTGCTTATCCACAATGTCTTATCAAAAGACTTTTGTTTTAGAGAGAGACATGAAATTAGCTTCCAAATCTAGTTACTTTCACTTGGTATCAACTAACATTCATATGATGTTTTACTTTCATTTTCTGCTGGGAAAAATGCTCTCTAACTTTTTCTCCACTCCGAACCATTCCAACTACTTAATCTTGCTCCAATGAACTCTATACTGATCTTTCTTTCCTGTGCCTATGCACCTGCTGTCTGGGAATTAAATTTAGATCCTGTTTTGTCTTAGCTGATTTGAGTGCATTGCTGGCCATAGAACAGGTTTTGGTCCTTGATGAGGCAGATCGTATTCTTGATGTTGGATTTAAAAAGACTCTGAATGCAATTGTCGCACAGCTACCTAAGCATAGACAAACATTGCTTTTCTCTGCAACTCAAACAAAGTCCATTCAGGATCTTGCAAGACTGAGTTTGAAGGACCCAGAGTATATCAGTGTGCATGAAGATGCTGAGACAGCAACTCCCAACCGCCTGCAGCAAACTGCAATGATTGTTCCTCTTGAGCAGAAGCTAGATATGCTGTGGAGTTTTGTAAAAGCTCATCTTAACTCAAAAATTCTTGTGTTTCTTTCTAGCTGCAAACAGGTAACTTGTCAGTATTCCTTTGAGAAGCGAGTGATTTTTTCTGTGGATAAGGGTGTTTGATGTTGATTTAATACCGCCATTGTATTTGGTTGTGAAACAAAGCCACTTCTTCAATTACTAGTTGGGCATGCTGTAGCCAATGCCTGAATAAGACAGTAGGAACTCATAGTAGACATGTGTGTGATTGGGTTTGGATCCTGGATGGTTCCTTCCATCGACTTAAGTTAATTTGTTTATGGCACGCTATAGCTAACTGAGTATTAATGGATCACTCAAATTTTAAATTATATTGACAAGTGCATTGGTATGGGCATATGTATTTCGAGCTTGAGATGATTTCATCTTGTTCAACCTGGCAATTTCTAGATTTGGTGTTGTAGACAGGGAAATATAATTGAATGTTTTGGCAGGCATAGGTAGTTGAGGAAGCATTACTTGTCAATTTTTCAAGTGTGCCAGATGTAACTCTTTTGTTCTGTTTTTGTCTACAATTCCTAGTTTCATAATCAACCCAGTTACAACTGTTCTTGACAACTCTGAATTGCGCCATTTGATAGGTGAAATTTGTCTTTGAAGCATTTAAGAAACTACGGCCTGGAATCCCATTGAAGTGTCTCCATGGAAGGATGAAGCAGGAGAGAAGGATGGGAATTTATTCTCAGTTCTGCGAAAGTCATTCAGTTCTCTTCTCAACTGATGTAGCCTCAAGAGGCCTTGATTTTAATAAGGCAGTTGACTGGGTTGTCCAGGTGAGATATTTGTTTTTGAGACAATGCCCTGGCACATCTTTCCCAATGATGAGGTTCTTAGAACTTGTTTCTTCTATAGGTAGATTGTCCAGATGATGTTGCATCCTACATACACAGGGTTGGTCGCACAGCACGCTATCTGGCTGGAGGAAGGTCGGTTTTGTTTCTGATGCCTTCAGAAATGAAAATGCTTGAAAAATTGCAAACAGCAAAAATTCCCGTACAGTTTATTAAGGTGGGTGCCTTAATTGAAAAATGTATTATCTTAACCTGGTTTATTTCAATTTGGAGGGGTAGATCTGCTGATTGGTTTACTACCTGAAATAATCAGTCATGGTGGTTGACTCTAATTTGTGTTTACAGCATTGAGTCCCTTATATGCATAGGTTCATGATGCTAAACATGCTTTTATGCTGATTCTCAGGCAAATACAAAAAGACTGCAGCCAGTTTCTGGATTGTTGTCAGCATTACTAGTCAAGTATCCTGATATGCAGCAGCTAGCTCAGAGAGCCTTCATAACATATTTGCGATCTATACATATACAGAAGGACAAAGAAGTGTTTGATGTGTTGAAGCTATCTATTGAAGAATTTTCAGCTTCACTGGGTCTACCTATGACCCCAAAAGTCCGTTTTCTGAACCAGAAAATAAAAGGGAAAAAGGCATTTGGAAAATCTGCTCTTCTGGAATCAGAAGATTCTGAAAAGGAGGATGCTGCAGAGATACCAGGTGCGAAGCTTGATATTGGTAACTTCAGGGAAGAAAGTGTGGGCAGACTAAAGGAGAATCTAGAGATTGGTGATTCAGAGGAAGAGAACATGGACAAAGGTTTTCTTCAAACAAAGAATGCTCTAAATGGGAGTGAAGCAAAAACAGGCGAAATTGAAGATCTTGTGTAAGTAACTTCTTAAAAAATATGGAAATATGTTTTTGCCACGGTGCTTCTAGATATAAGAATTAACTACAAGCAGCTTTTGAAGATTTCCAAATGACTAATTTCCCCATTAAACCTGTTTTTAAGTGCGGTTGCTTCTGCTTTTAAGTGCTTTTTCCTTGAAAAAACATCAAATCAATGCTTTTTTTAGTGTTTTTTATAATCTTGATGTGCAGGTGTTAAAAATGAAAAAATATTAATTTTGATGCATTTTTAAAAGAAAAACACTTTTGAAAAGCACTCTACAGCACAATACCAAACACATGCTTATTGATGCAATAATGTGGCATCTTATTGGAATTATTCCTCTTTTGTGAAATGTAATGGAATAAGACATTGGAATTATTTTTGAATGAATTGTATGACTAGGCTAAATCTTATTGGATTAAACCTTTGTTTTTTTTATCTTTAATAATGGGATCTGGTTTTGTTTTTGCAGGCCAGCAACACGAGTTTTGAAGAAAAAGAAGTTGAAGATCAATGTCCATAGACCGGTTGGGACAAGGGTTGTCTTTGATGAAGAAGGCAATACACTTCCTCCACTTGCAAGAGTGGCTGATAGAAAGAATGTTGATAATTCATCTCTGCTTGACCAAGGTAACTTCTCCTGAATTTCCAGGGATGAATTATCTTGACTGATATTCCCGGACAGAACTAGCTTATTTTGCATGGAAACAAAGTACTGCTTTCCTTTTCTGTGGCCTTCAGCGTGATTATTGCTAGCTCTGAAAACATTGCTAGGGTTTTTTGACAGTTTAAAAACACATATAAGCTATGGATCATAGTTGTTTTGATTGGCTGTCTGCCAAAGATAAAATGTCTAACTGAAACAGATTGTCCTTTGCATTGGTCAGCCTTTGTTTTCTCATTAATCTGTTGTTCATCTGCAGACAAAAGAGAAGAATACTATAAGAAGATGAGGGAACAAATGAAGCATGTGGACAAGGAAGATAAAGTTTTAGATCGCCAGCGCCGCCGGGAGAAACGGATTAAGGAAAAGATGAAGAGGAAAATAGGATCTATGGGTTTAGAGGAGGATGGAGAAGGCGAGGATGATCTTTCTGGTTCAGAAGGAGAGGGCAGAAAGCTTAAAAGATCAAAGATATATTTTGATAGTGATAGTGATAATGCTGAGATGACAGAAAGTAAAGATAATGCAGGCATAAGTACTGATTCCATTTCACTTGCAGACCAAGAAGCTCTTGCCCTGAAGTTGTTGAGTTCTATGAATTCATAGATCCTGTTTACTACAGTGCGATCCTTCACCTCAACCTACAATTTTGCCTAGATGAGCAGTTTCTTTTTCTCTGCCCCTTACCCAATTCCCATACTTTTTTTGTATGTTTCCTTCTTTGTTTTTAAGAATCTGAAGAAAAAACAGCACTATACAGATTACTTGTGATACGCACTGATCACGTGATTTCTAGTTGTACCAGCTGGAATCTATGTTTTGATGGCTCTGAGAATTGTGTGCATGCTGCTACCAGCTTTTTAATTCTCCTTGCTGAGAGAGAGTTTAAATGATCGATAATGTCAGGACTTTTATGTCAAATAAAATTTTGAATTTGGCTCTTGTATTACATTAGTGATGCAGATTCTCTTTTTTTTATTTATTTAATAATTATGTATGCTGATAAAGCATCTAGTTATAGAAAAGCTAGGAACTTGGTACACGTTAGGTATGTTAATATTCGTTGGTCTCCTTGTGCGGCTCTCTCTTTGAACTTGATCTTGAAGGATTCACTTTCAAAGCCTCGCATCACGTTCATGTAAGGTGACGGTTTTTGTAGACAATCATCAATGCCTTTTAGCTTGGTTAAGTTTTTAGATTTGTTTGGGGAGAGATCGTGCGTCCGAGACCAAATCGTTTCGTCGCAACCTCCTTCCTAACAAAGAAGAATATTCATGTGCTCTAGCTTGACCTGCAAGCTTTGGCAACTAACAAGCTTTTCACAGATCATAAGGTATCCAGATCTGTACCTGGAGAAAAAAAGGTTAGCAAAATATTATCTTGGATAGCAAACTTTGGGATTAGTGTTTGATTATGGTGAAAATTGCTGGTCCTCATATAAGGTTGTACAACAATTATCAAGGAGCAATGGGATAGGCATCTTCATTCCAACCTTCATGCTACGGGTTATTTTTTTAACCTTACTTCCTTGTATGGAGAGAATTTTTGTGAAAAGCTTGAGGTTACAAACAAAAACGTAATGAAAAAGAGAGAATTGTGGAGAGAATTTTTGTGAAAAGCTTGAGGTCACAAACAAAAACGTAATGAAAGAGAGAGAATTGTATCAAGACTCCAGGAAAGTTTTGCTCGGCCAACAACTCTTACTTGAGCTAAGTCCTAAGATCATGTAACATTCGACCTTGCTCCTATAAATTTTTTAGTCGATTATTATTTTTCAAAATATGTATTATAAGACATTTTGTTTACGGTGGATGAATGGTGGAAATTGTTTGGAAGTAGTGCAACATTGTTGCCAAAAATAGCCATTTGAAATTAAGAAATCACCGTCTCATGATCCAAGAAAGAACCAAGTAGTGAAAGAAGACAGAGGAAGAACCATTCTTCTCGTTTCCCCAAGACCCATGCTAATATTTCCTTCACACAATCCTGCGTAAGTTCCATGTTCTTAGCAACTTTATCCCAAATCATATGAAGACAAGACTTAACAATCTAAAAGAGCCGAATAAATATTGAAGGTGCCGGCAAAAATTCATGCACTACAGCAATATTTAAGCAGCTGTTCGATTAAAAAAAAGAAGAAAACATAGAAAAAGAATGGAAAACTTAAAGAATTAAGAAAAGGGAGCTTGTTAATGGGCATTTGGGCACCAAAAGTGAGAGCAAAACTCAAAAGCTACCTCTCATAGTTCGATTAAAAAAAAGAAGAAAACATAGAAAAAGAATGGAAAACTTAAAGAATTAAGAAAAGGGAGCTTGTTAATGGGCATTTGGGCACCAAAAGTGAGAGCAACACTCATCTGAAGCAAAACTCAAAAGCTACCTCTAATATTATTGATATTGAACTCTTAAAGACTCTCATCACAATCCCTACCTAGCAATGAAAAGGCTCCTCCTACAGCAGCACTCGCAGTTCTCTCCTCAAGCTTTCTGGCCTCCTCGACGAGCACGATTAGTGAGAAACTAGTTTCGTGGCCCGCACGGGAACAAAGTCTTATCATTAAAAATAAATGTTAAAAGGGTGTAAGTGTATTTCAAAAAAGTAAGAAAAATTATGATTCACGTAATACATCTAGGTGAGTCAAATAAAATGACAAAAAAAATTATTAAAAGGAAAAAAACTACAAAAAAAAAGAGAGATCATGAAAAAAAAACCACTTATTAAAAAAAAACAATCAAGTGCACTAGGAAGAACATAAAAAAAAAAAAAGAGAGGAGAAAATAACCCAAGTTAGCCTAAATACCCTTGTCAAATCCACAACGTGTTTATAAGGTCATAATAAAAAAAATTAAAAAAAAAGGTAAAATATAAAGTACTAAATGATAAAATAAAAAAATAAAATCAATGTAAATAATAAGAAAAAAAATGTTATTATCAATCAAATTAGTCTGTTAAACTCGTGATCTCAATTACAAGACCGATGTAACCCAGTAGGAAAAAATCATGACCCTTAATTTCTAATTCAAGGCTAAAATTGAAAACAAATTTAAATTGTTACAAAAAACCCCAAAACAAACAAAAAAAAACATCCTAAAAAATTGAGGACCAAATTCTAAACAAAGACAAAATAAGAGGAAAAATAGAAATGTTTGATTTAAGGATGCAATTGAAAAAATCATAAATTTTATAAAAGAAAAATAAAAGATAAAAAAATAATAAATCTAAAAAAACAAAATAAAAGGAAAAATAACGTTTCAGTAAAGAGAAAAAGTGATACAAATTTAAAGTTTAAAAAATAAATTAAGATGAAAATCAAACCATTAAAAAAAATCAAATCAGAAATATGAACAAAATAAAAGAATAGCATAGATTTTTTCATTGAACAACTCATTTTTCAAGGAAAATAGAAAGAAGAAAGAAAATAAAGGTAGTCAAGATCAAATTACCATACAAAACATTACATGCACCACCTTATTAGAAAACAACACTATAAGAAATCTAATGTCATTATGAATAGTCAATTTCTATAAACAACTAATTTCTGCAACTTTAAATCGTCGTACACACCTTTAAAAGCATGCAAAAGCTACTTGACATGCTCACAAATACAACACATATACCAACCATTTTTTTAATATTTTTAAGCTTATTAAAATACTAAAGTGTCCCTAAGTTATCATTTTATTACCAAAATTAATTTTTTTCTTTTTGCTTTTTTCTTTTTTTTATTAATTTTTTTAATTTAATTTGTTAATATTAATTTTTTTAATTTAATTATCAAACCTTTATAACCTTTATAACACGGATGTCATGTTTGAAAGGTTAACCTGGTTCATTCTATTTTTTTTTTCTTCATTAGTTTTCTTTTACTATAGATTTTTTTTTCTTTGTTTTTTTAATTAATTTTTTTAGTTTAATTAATTTCAGGTGAAAGATTAAATTATGTTAGTTATAGTTATAATATTAAAGAATGAATTTGAAAAAAAAATTAATAAAGAAAAAAAATATAAATCAACTAGATTAACTCTTCATATTAATTTTTTTTTATTTAATTATCATACTTTTATAACACAACCTTGTAGTCAGACTCACGTCTAAGGATCTTGGATCAGGTATTGCAGTCAGACCTACTTAAATTTGAATCATGCAAATTTAATATTACTATTAATATTATAAATATTATTTTTAAGTCAGACGTTGCAGTCAGATCCAAAGTTCTTGGGTATACCTTTATAGAAAAACTAAATACTCTTAAATCTTAACTTTTTTATATATTTTTTATGCAAAAACATTGACCCACATCATAACAAAAGTCATATAACTAATTAACCCCTAAATCTCAATAGATTTATTTTGATTTATAGTATATTTTAGTCATTAACTTGTACTAAAAATATAAAAAGATCACATTTATCTTGATTAATATAATAACCAATTAATCTTTATGAAATTACAGCATTACCACTAATATATAGTTTATTAGTTTTCTTTATGAAAAGCAAATATCATAAATACAGTATTCATGCATCATGTTTAGATGTACAAGGAATTCACCACCTCCAATCATAGCTATTAAACCCATAGTTATCAAACTTAAACTGGCCTGGTGGGTTAATCAAAGATTTAAGGGCTGGACCAGTTTAGCTTTGTCAAAAGACTAGTTGGTACAATGACCCGACTAAACTCTATTGACCCAGTAAGTCAACCTGTGACTCAGGGCGAGACCTGGTTTTTTTAAAATGTAAAATTTAAAACCTATTAATATACATAGTTTATATTTTTAAGAAAAAAATTATTTTTTGTTAATGTGAGATAAAAAAACCTTTTGGTTTAAATACTTCAACTTAAAAGGATAACATAATATCTTTTTAATATGAGATTTTAAACTCATTAGTACATATACTATGTTCCCAAAAAAAAATTTATCTTTTTTTAATGTGAAATTTAAAATCAATTAGTATATATACTCTGTGTTCATAAGAAAAAAACTATGTTTTTTCGATGTAAAATTTGAAACTCATTAGTATATATACTCTATGTTTCCAAAAAAAAAGTTATTTTTTCAATGTGAGATTTGAAGTTCATTAATTCATATACTTTATGTTCACAATAAAAAAACTATATTTTTTCAATGGAGGATAAAAAAAAATAGATTTAAATACTTCAACTTAAAAGCTTAACATAATATCTTTTTAATGTGGGATACAAAAAATTAAAATATTATTTTAAACTTCATTATTTATAATATATATAACCTATATTTATATAGATCTTTTCTTGATTTTTTCATATAAAATATTAAAAATTTAATTTTTTTTTAATTTTTTTGGATTGATCCGAGTTGACCAATGAAACCTGAGACCCAACTTTTTAGCTAGGCCAAACCCCAGCCGAGTTTAATAAGATTTTTAAGTTGAAGTATTTAATAAGATCTGATTTATAAAAAAAATATTATATTAAACTTTTAAGTTGAAGTATTTAAATAAAAAAAAATTATCCCACATTGAAAAATAGTTTTTTTCTTTATATATATTAATGAATTTCAAATCTCATGTCTAAAAAACATAATTTTTTTTTTAAAATACATAATATATATATTAATAAATTTCAAAACTCACATTAAAAAAATATTTTTTTTTTCTTATAAAAATAAAATATATATACTAACAAGTTTTAAATATCACATTAAAAAAATATTATATTACTCTCTTAAATTAAAATATTTTTTTAAAAAATTTTTTACCTCACATTATAAAAATATAAAATATATAATTTCGAATCTCACATTTAAACAAAACATTACCCGTCAGGTCAAACAAATTTAACCAAGTTATTAAACTAGATGATTTTTTAACAAATCCTGACCAGTTTAAC